GACAGCGTACCTGGCGAGCAATGCCTCTTCGACAGTGTAATGCTGGATTTCGTCATCGTGGATAGCCCTGAATGCCTCTGCAGCTCTCCCTGATAATTTCCCAGGCAAGATGGTAACCCATCCGTCGGTGGGTACCTTGTGTAAAGTGCATTGTCTTTCAAAATCCCCAAGGTACCCATCTATTTCTCCTTCTGTCTCTTGAAACTTTTTAAAAGAAGCAAAGGGTACCTTCTTCCGTTCCATAGTGGGTGCATGTACCTCCCCAAGTGTACCTCCATACGGTTGCTTGCTCTTTGGCCGCGGTTCTCCAACAGATCCTTTAAAGTGGATCATTTCAGTTGTCCATACCAACTCTCCATCCGCTTATTGCGTCTTTAGATCCTGTTCCTCTGGGGGAAAAAGAACCATCCCACCGCTGCCACCAGATGTGGCGGACACCCCGATGGGAAGAGGCGTTTTGCCGCCAGAGATGTTCTTTTCCCCCCAGTGTGAGTAGAGTTGCAATAATTCTGGAAGCGATAATCCTAAAAAGCAGTAATAAAGTTGTTCCCTACCAGCACGAGACGAGGCTCTGTGTTGAGGGTAAAACTGGAACTGTTTAACTGGAAGCCACAACTGCCCTTATATGCAAGTCCCCATGCAAGAGGTTTCTGATTACATATTCCAGGGGCATTCCCCACTGGACCTGAGAGGGGACTTCAGTAAAACCACACCCATAATTACATTAACTCTCAGTTTCAGGACATGCACAGATCCCACAAACACAGCCGAAATGCCACAGGGGTATAGTTTAGATAGATCACACACGAGGCGCCTGCCCAAAATAGTTTCATGAAATCAGGCTGTGCGGTCTTTCTCTTTCGGGAGTAAAAAATACAACAATATATACGAATATAAAAAAAGCAAAGTGAGGAAATCCTTATCAAGGAAATTCCTCTAGGGTACTGGTGTATGAGAGGCTGAACTAAAGCAATAGTTAAAACATAACGAGGAAGTATCTATCATGTATATCAAGGCACAGAATATCATTGAGGTGGATAAACTAATAGGCTTTATTATAATGGCCAAAAATGTGTTAGCCACTAATTATCCCAACTTTATAAATAAGAAGTGCAAGCTGATATAGCAGAGGCAGATTGACAAACTCTCAATTCCAAAAGAGTGGATACAAAAAGGTTTAAAGAGATGTATCTTTAAATAGATACATTGTGGCCAATAATATGCCTTAACTTTCACAGGCATCCCTTGTTAATTGTAGAGGGAATGGGGATAGATCGACTAAGCATATAAAGGGAATCAACACAATAAAGTAGGAGACTATATTTAAAAGAAGAAAAACTACCATAACAAGAGGACATAGTCTTAAATTAGAGGGACAAAGGTTTAAAAATAATATCAGGAAGTATTACTTTACTGAGAGGGTAGTGGATGCATGGAATAGCCTTCCAGCTGAAGTGGTAGAGGTTAACACAGTAAAGGAGTTTAAGCATGCATGGGATAGGCATAAGGCTATCCTAACTATAAGATAAGGCTAGGGACTAATGAAAGTTTTTAGAAAATTGGGCAGACTAGATGGGCCGAATGGTTCTTATCTGCCGTCACATTCTATGTTTCTATGTTTCTATGTAAGCAGTTGCTTAGTGTGACGAAATGCCTTTTGTCACTGGATTGTTAGGTGACAAGCTGCCCTTTGCCCCCGGCTGTTGGAGGAGCCTGATTGCCAGCCTCCTTCCTCATGACTATGGCCCTGGGGTGTATTGCCATTTTAAAAGACTATTTCGGGCTTATTGTCTTCTAAAGACTGTTTCTGCCCATTTGAATCCATGGGAAGGTGTGTGTGACGAGAGCAATCTCGCCACATTGCATTGGAGAAGCCTGGTTGCCCGCCTGCTGCCTTTAGACTATGGCCCCATGTTGAAACGCTGGATTTTCCCCTGCAAAGACATGAAAGCCGGGTCATTTGGTGCTTGCCCTGTTTGAGCGGTGATACCCCAGATAGCTATGCCATGGAGCCCATTCGTATAATGAAAGACTATGGGAAAGACTTTGGCTCCATGGCAATTGAACTGTATGTGTGTGCTCTGAGCGCCATTCAGTAATAATGTGCGCTCAGATCTGAGCTATCTGGGGATATGTTGAATGTACCTGTTTTGTGCAATGGTTGCACAGTTATATGTTTTTATGTATTTTATTGTATTTTGCTGCCATGTGTTCAGTGGAGTTTTGCCTCTGTGCTTGGAGATAATTGGATTACTTCCCAATTATCTCCAGGATAGAAGACTCTGTGGAACTGGTTTTGGGCAGAAAAACCATGCTTCCTTTGGTCACAAAGGACTACGATCTATCTTTTGAACCATTGGACCAATTTGTATGAATTTGACGTATGTTTGTATTTGGAGTATGCTGATTCTGAAAATGTAAGTTTTATATGAATGTGATGCAATGTGATTTTCAAGTTATAAATAATGTGGAAAAATTGTATTTCTCTGCTTGTTATAATTACATGACCCATTGTGTAAGGTAATTCAATCACAGGCAGAGGGGAGGATTTTGTGTGGGAGTGTCTGAGTGTATTGTATGTGTTTATTGGTTGTGTTCCAAAACCCTGTGGGTGGTACTAAGGTGTAAGAATGTGTACATAAGCACAATAAACCCACAGCTCTGACTGTTCACTGCTTGACCCTCAACACGGAGCTTTGTCTCGTTCTTGGGGGATTTATTGTATGCTGTTCCAGTTCGACTGCTAGGAGTGTAAACCTATTCGGATGGTTTTTCCTATTTGGCTGTTTACGGCATTCATATGGTTTCCTGTTCATCGGATTGGTGTTCTGGAGTAGCTGTGCCTGTGTCTCTGGAAGGGGAAGATCTACTAAACGGCGGTTTAACCCTTTTATGCTGAGGGTGCCGTTACAGTGTGTTTCTTTCCCTCCCTCGTTTCCTGTCTATTGTTCTCCAGCAGGGCATTGTCCCAGGCACACTGCCAAACCAGTTGGAACTGACTACTTTTGTCCCTACTTGGTTTCTCAACAGCCCTTGCTATGCTTTACCCCATGGCAAATTTACTCTGTTCATGGGATCTGAGCGCTGTTCACCAAATGTGGGGCTTCTGTGTAATATAATAAGAATTATGTATTTTTATGTACTTTTACGTATTTTTGCTGTTAGTGTAAAATGTAGATATTTTCTGTACTTGGAGATAATTGAGTTTATTGCAGTGCCTTAAGCCAATTATCTCCAGGGTGGAGAGGAGGGATTTCATTGTGTATGTGGGAGTGTTATTATGTTAATTAGTGTTCCCATTGGCTTGTGTCCCTTTTGTCACAGTTTACCACCAGGTCCAGGGGGTGTGCCTCTGGCCTGAAAACTTGTATATGAGGAGTAATAAACGCTCACTGGAGTCAGATCATCTTGTACCTTCATGAAGTTTCGGCTCATGTTTGGGGGATTGGAGAACTACACTCTGGGGATTGCTATAATTACTATACTCCCCAGGGTATGATCACTAAGCTCTGCTAAGAGCTTGTTCCTGTTCCTGGAATTCGGAGAGGTCGACCTACTGGAAGCTGGATTCTGGTCTTGGGTCCAGAGTGGGTGGAGACGGCGAGACCCCAACCAAGCTGCGGCGGTTTGTGGGGTCTACAGTGGTTATGGTGTCAGGTGGAGTGCTTGGAGACCTCGGAAAGCACTAGGAGCATCCGTCAGCGGAAGGTACCCAGTCGGGTTACACTTTGTATAAGAGTCTATATGGGATGGTCAAGATACTAGCACATCATAGAGTGAAAAGAAACCTCCATCAAACGTTGCTTATAGGTAAACATGGTCAGTAGCATTGAACACCTTCTACAAATGAGCCCAGAGTCTCTAATAATTATTTATTTTAGGGTATACTGGATTGCTACTATAGTGCTATCTAGTATCAGCTAGGAAGGCTAGATTCCCCTAAGACATCTTCATGGATGTTAGTTAGGCTAAATTCCCACTAGCTATACATGGTTCTAAGAGTAATATCTAAATACTATTTGCAGCTACTTCTGCTAGAGATTCTCTGAGCCCCTGAACAAATTATTAGAAAGACTAGTTCTCCCTTTAGCTAAGAATGGAAAAAGCTCCAGGCCCCCGCCGGTGTATTAACAAGTCCCCACACTCCCATATAGCTCTTCCTCGTTACAGATTAAATAAAAATCAAAGTAAAACAAAAGGTGGTCAATCAGTGCATAGTGCTATGTGAAGAAAAATTCCCCGGAAATTGGACGACCAAACACCGCTGTCTGTGTTCGTGGCTAAAGATGGCCGCCGCCATGTGTTCAACTACCCAGCCGACCGCTTAGAACATTGGTGTTATTGCAGTTACAGAGGTGTTAGCAGAGATTAATGGGGTCAACAAATGGCACACTCTGCATATGGGTGGTCTGTCATTCGTGATTTATTCGTTATTCAAACAGGGAAATGTTAATATAAGAGGTGAACACAATTTCCTGGACAAACAGGCAAAGGGGACAAAGAGCAATATAATCCCGGGACAGGGTGATCTGTCACACACTATATAAATCCATAGCTAGATAGAAGCAGGACTCGCTCTGTTTATACACGTAGAGATTGAAGCCGTATTAGTCCAGTGATGTAGATGTACAAAACAAATAAAATTTGCATCTTGTAATACCTTTTTTATTGGACTAACAGAATTTTTTGATGACAAGCTTTCAGGAGAACCTCCCTTTCTCAAGTCTGAAGCATTTCTGAGCATGACGACACATAGAATTCAAGTTTGGCCCTGGGGTGTATTGCCATTTAAAAAGACTATTTGGGGCTTACTGGCAAAGCTTGTCATCAAAAAATTCTGTTAGTCCAATAAAAAAGGTATTACAAGATACAAATTTTATCTGTTTATACACTATATAACTCCATAGATAGATAGAAGCTGGGCTCGCTCTGTTTATACTATAGAAAAAAAGTTGTAATCGTCAGATTTTCAATCACCTTTACTTCTCTCGTTTTCATTTCAGGTTCTTAGTCTGAAGCAGTTTGAATTAAATGGGATGCCCAAGGTGGTGCCTTTAAGTTTGCCTTACCAAGACTTCAAGAAGGACATATCGGACAGCAAAGAGATGCTGCGTGTGCCACACCGAATAAAACGCGTGGATTTCTCCTGTGTAGTCCTTCCTCCCATGCATGCCCCAGAGCCACATATTGTAATCAATGGGAGGACTTCACAAACAGAACATGAGCAAGAAGAAGATGAAGAAGAGGTGGAATTTTTAGGGGAGGAGATCGACCTTCAAAGTGGCTCCAGCAGTGATATGAGTCAGAAGAGTACTGAGCGCAGTCAGGAAGGGGCTCCTTCCACTCTCTTGGCAGATGATCAGAGAGATTCAAGAGGTCGAGTTTCTGCTGGAGAGAACGACCTAGAATTAGAAGAGGGCTCTAAGACCTTAGTACTGTTCTCCCCTGGAGATATGAAAAAGTCACCAGTCACCAATGAGCTTTTGCCCGAAGTTGACCTTGGAACTCTTGCTGTGCTAACACCCCAAGGAGAAAGGCCCCAGCCTTTGGGGAGTCAATTGGATGTATCAGAACCAGGAACATTATCTTCCATCCTCAAATCAGAGCCAAAACCACCGAATGCTGGAGCTGCCACAGCTACCTCCCCTTTTACCAAAGTTGAACGCACATTTATTCATATTGCTGAAAAGACACATCTAAACGTCATGTCTTCCACTGGGCAGCTAATTAGGATGGACGAACATTACGGCTCAGGGCAGTGTGAGGAGCCAATTATTGAGGAGGAAATTGAAGATTATGAGCTACTAAGAGACAATGGAAGCATAAACTCGGCTGTGGAGGCTGGTGAGATTGACAGCTGTGTCATCTCAGCCAGCAATATTGAGTTCTGTACAGAGGCTCCAACAGATCTTAGGGCTGCCAATGGCATAAGTGAGTCTGAAGGTCAGCTGGATAAGGACATGGTGGATATGGTTTTCAAGAAAGACACGCATCCACAGCAGGAAAAGATTGTGCTTGCCACTGATCGCCTTAAAGAAGCTGAGGAGAACCCCTGCAAGGCTGTAACCCAACCCTGTGCCATGCGTTTTAGGAGTCGTATCCCAGTGTTTTTATCAGAAGAGGACACTGGGTCAGATCAGTCTATGTCACACTCCGTTAAGGAGAGGTTCCATAAGAGGACAAAGCAACTAGATCTAGCAAGGTTTGTAATGGAGAAGAGACAAATCCAACTGCAGAGATTAGCTTCTGCTGGCTCATCTTCAGCCTCTTCAAGTGAAGATAGAAGGAGGACCTCTGAAACCCTTTCCACCACGGGATCTGAGGAAGATACACATGATTCAGATGACTCCACCCCAAGAAAGTGCAGAAAAGAGAAATCTTTCTCCACCAGAAAGGATGACACTGTTTCCAGCACCAGAAGCAAAATTCCCCGTCCAGTTACACCAGTGAAAACTATCCGACCAACAATCCCACCAACACCCAGCAGCAAAGGCACTTCAACTTCACAGAGGTAAGAAACGGCAGTGTGTGTGATAAAACTCCTGTGTGTGTGTGAGATTAAACTCCTGTGTGTGTGAGATAAAACTCCTGTGTGTGTGAGATTAAACTCCTGTGTGTGTGTGATAAAACTCATGTGTGTGTGAGATTAAACTCCTGTGTGTGTGAGATTAAACTCCTGTGTGTGTGAGATAAAACTCCTGTGTGTGTGAGAGATTAAACTCCTGTGTGTGTGAGATAAAACTCCTGTGTGTGTGAGATTAAACTCCTGTGTGTGTGATAAAACTCATGTGTGTGTGAGATAAAACTCCTGTGTTTGTAAGATAAAACTCCTGTGTGTGTGAGATAAAACTCCTGTGTGTGTGAGATAAAACTCCTGTGTGTGTGAGATTAAACTCCTGTGTGTGTGAGATAAAACCCCTGTGTGTGTGAGCTAAAACTCCTGTGTGTGTAAAATAAAACTCCTGTGTGTGTGAGATAAAACTCCTGTGTGTGTGTGAGATTAAACTCCTGTGTGTGTGAGATAAAACTCCTGTGTGTGTGAGATTAAACTCCTGTGTGTGTGTGTGATAAAACTCCTGTGTGTGTGTGATAAAACTCATGTGTGTGTGAGATTAAACTCCTGTGTGTGTGAGATTAAACTCCTGTGTGTGTGAGATAAAACTCCTGTGTGTGTGAGAGATTAAACTCCTGTGTGTGTGAGATAAAACTCCTGTGTGTGTGAGATTAAACTCCTGTGTGTGTGATAAAACTCCTGTGTGTGTGTGATAAAACTCCTGTGTGTGTGTGATAAAACTCATGTGTTTGTAAGATAAAACTCCTGTGTGTGTGAGATAAAACTCCTGTGTGTGTGAGCTAAAGCTCTTGTGTGTGTGAGCTAAAACTAATGTGTGTGTGAGATAAAACTCCTGTGTGTGTGAGATAAAACTCCTGTGTGTGTGAGATAAAACTCCTGTGTGTGTGTGTGAGATTAAACTCCTGTGTGTGTGAGATAAAACTCCTGTGTGTGTGAGATTAAACTCCTGTGTGTGTGAGATTAAACTCCTGTGTGTGTGTGATAAAACTCCTGTGTGTGTGTGATAAAACTCATGTGTGTGTGAGATTAAACTCCTGTGTGTGTGAGATAAAACTCCTGTGTGTGTGAGATTAAACTCCTGTGTGTGTGTGATAAAACCCCTGTGTGTGTGTGATAAAACTCGTGTGTGTGAGATTAAACTCCTGTGTGTGTGAGATTAAACTCCTGTGTGTGTGAGATTAAACTCATGTGTGTGTGTGAGATTAAACTCCTGTGTGTGTGAGATAAAACTCCTGTGTGTGTGAGATTAAACTCCTGTGTGTGTCAGATTAAACTCCTGTGTGTGTCAGATTAAACTCCTGTGTGTGTCAGATTAAACTCCTGGGCCTCCATTTATTATTTTTGGAAAGCCTTTTTTTTTTAAAATGATTTCATATTTTTGGATATGCTTTTCAAATATTTTTTACAATGTTAAAATTTCATATATAGATAAATATATAATAATATTTGAAAATATTAAAATAGCTTTGGACACATGGATTTCAAGATCAGAGACAACATGGGTTTACTTCAGGGAGATCATGCCAAACTAATCTTATTGATTTTTTTTGATTGGGTAACTAAAATTATAGATCAGGGTGGTGCAGTAGACATTGCTTACCTAGATTTCAGTAAGGCTTTTGACACTGTTGCACATAGAAGGCTTATCAATAAACTGCAATCTTTAAGTTTGGATTCCAATATTGTTGAATGGGTAAGGCAGTGGCTGAGTGACAGGCAACAGAGGGTTGTAGTTAATGGAATATATTCGAAGCTTGGACTTGTCACCAGTGGGGTACCTCAAGGATCTGTACTTGGACCCATTCTCTTTAATATTTTTATTAGTGATATTGCAGAAGGTCTTGATGGTAAGGTATGTCTTTTTGATGATACTAAGATACTAAGATATGTAACAGGGTTGATGTTCCAGGAGGGATAAGCCAAATGGCAAATGATTTAGGTAAACTAGAAAAATGGTCAGAATTGTGGCAACTGACATTTAATGTGGATAAGTGCAAGATAATGCATCTTGGACGTAAAAACCCAAGGGCAGAGTACAGAATATTTGATAGAGTCCTAACCTCAACATATGAGGAAAGGGATTTAGGGGTGATTATTTCTGATGACTTAAAGGTAGGCAGACAATGTAATAGAGCAGCAGGAAATGCTAGCAGAATGCTTGGTTGTATAGGGAGAGGTATTAGCAGTAGAAAGAGGGAAGTGCTCATGCCATTGTACAGAACACTGGTGAGACCTCACTTGGAGTATTGTACACAGTACTGGAGACCGTATCTTCAGAAGGATATTGATACCTTAGAGAGGGTTCAGAGAAGGGCTACTAAACTGGTTCATGGATTGCGGGATAAAACTTACCAGGAAAGGTTAAAGGATCTTAACATGCATAGCTTGGAGGAAAGACGAGACAGGGGGGATATGATAGAAACATTTAAATATATAAAGGGAATCAACACAGTAAAGGAGGAGACTATATTTAAAAGAAGAAAAACTACCACAACAAGAGGACATAGTCTTAAATTAGAGGGACAAAGGTTTAAAAATAATATCAGGAAGTATTACTTTACTGAGAGGGTAGTGGATGCATGGAATAGCCTTCCAGCTGAAGTGGTAGAGGTTAACACAGTAAAGGAGTTTAAGCATGCGTGGGATAGGCATAAGGCTATCCTAACTATAAGATAAGGCCAAGGAATAATTAAAGTATTTTAAAAATTGGGCAGATTAGATGGGCCGAATGGTTCTTATCTGCCGTCACATTCTATGTTTCTATGTAACACTGTATTTTCAGAGAAAAGGCAGTGTTTACATTGCCCCTAGGACACTTCCAGTGACCATTCCTCAGATGGCCACTGGGGATGCTTCCTGGGTCAGTGCTGCACAGTAGGCAGCTCTGCCATTCAACGTCTCCATGACGCTGAATTTTCATCATAGAGATGCATTAATTCAATGCATCTCTATGAAGAGGTCCTGATTGGCCAAAACTGCATTTGGCCCCGCCTCCTTGCTGATTTTAGCTAATCCACTGCATTACCTATGGGTAAGCATTGGATTGGCTAAAAATCGTCAATTTTGATGATGTCACCAATGGGGCGGGGCCAGGGCCGGCAGACCAGTGGAGAGCTGAAAATAAGGTCAGTTTTAACCAGGAGTCAAGTCCTGGGGAAAAAAGTGTGGGAACTCATCCACGATTGGGGGGCTAGTGAGACCGGGTTAGGGGGGCTAGTAAGACAAGGTTAGGGGTTAGAGAGACAGGGTTAGGGGACTTTTAATATATTTTGCTTTGCACCCCTCCTGCTTACCTTCTGTACAGGCAGGGGAGACAATAATTAATTTCATGGTGTTCCAGTGGGTCCCTGGTGGTCCAGTGTGCTGCTGGTTCGCTCCCTGGCGGTCCAGTGTGCTGCTGGTTTGCTCCTTGGTAGTCCAGTGTGCTGCTAATGAACTCCTTGGTGGTCCAGTGTGCTGCTAATGAACTTCTTGGTGGTCCAGTGTGCTGCTGGGGCTGCCGCACTCCCTTGCGGTTCCGGCGCACTGTGATGATGTCTCTAACACTCACAGTGCGCCCGACCTACAAGCAGCACACTGGACCACCAAGGAGTTTATTACAGATAGCAGGGAGATTTTTTGATCTCCCTGCTGGCTCAAGAAAGGGGGCTCGATCAGAGCCTGCAGGACCACTAATGGGAACGGCGTTGCTGCTGTGGAAAAAGTGCAGAAACGCCGTTCCCATGCGTTCCTGCAGGACTCGAGCCCTTTTTTCAACCAATTCTAAAGGGGCTAAGTGTGGGGGGGTCCAAGCCACCTAAATGATGGGTTTTCACTATAGGGTCAGGAAAACATGTTTGTGTTCCTGACCCTATATTGATCCTTTAACTGTATTTCTGTCCTCCATGTTTATATATTGACCGCTTGCATAGTTATTAAAGGGAATCAAATCAATCCACTAAATAGCCCCTACAGAGAGTTTGTAATGGTGTATGCTGAGACAGATGAGTATATGTCTGTCTTTTCTTTCAAGTCTTTCAATCAGTTTTTCATATAACTTGTAATTTAAACTACTGCCTTTTCTGCTTAATACATAAACACCTCTTTATTCCCCAGTGATCATATTCTTTCCCGCAGTTAAACAGCTTGCTCAAGTTGACTCACATCAAGTTGTTTTATTCTTCACGCAGTGTGCCTTATTTTTCTCTCTTCTCTTTAGGCATCACTTGTCTGGGAGTCCTGTTGGTGGGATTCCTGGCCTAACCCCTGATTTTCGTCCCAAAGCACTGCAAATGAAACTTCCTCCTCTCTCTAGCCCAACCCCCACCAGGAACAATCTGCGAAGGGTCAATCGTGGTCCACCCAAGAGTCCTGTAGCCCCTGCACGGACACTCAGTGCTTCTTCCCGAAGCCAATCCCTTTCCAGGACCGAAAGTCCGTCACCATCCCGACAGAAAAAAATGGCTGCTACTACTCCTTGGGTGTACCCCTCTCCCAAACTCCAGCCTCGAGCACAGACCCAAGGAGAATGTCCAGCAACTCCAGCTGTTGTCAGGAAGGGACAAAGGCTGAAGATCCAAGTGCCAAACCCAGCAACCAAAGCACGTGGTGGAGTTGAAGGCAGATAATGGAGCTTTGTGTGGGGTACAGAGCCCACTGGGAATTTTAAGCTTCAGGCAGGAATGATTGTAATGCTATGCTCACCCTTTAAAGCGCATAACACACACTGTGAGAGCAGGATACCCCACAGTCGACGATCCCAGTAGGATGGTTCCAGGGGCCATTCATTAACTCAAGCAGACCCACTTCAAGTGGTGTACAATCCTATAACCTTCAACATCCAGCTTTTCAGCTTTTTGACCCAAAGTCTTTTTTGTTTAAGGGTGACCTATCACTAGAGCTACCCTTGACCAGAATCAATCTGGTGGTGCAGTAGACAGGAGATCTAGTACTAACAGCAGCCCTTAACCTTTCTTCTTCACAGAATGGAGCTTCACAGGCGGCCAAAATCGCACATTTCTTCTTGGTTTTGTTTGCCTACAATTTTAGGGCAAAATTGATAACCCAGATAAATCGATTACTTTATATTCCTTATAGAAAATATTCAATTATAAGTAAAATGAAGTGAATGTCCTAATTCCCAGCACTGGGACCCTTATTATAGGCCCCCACTGTATTGACATCTCAATATCATTTCATCATTACCAAAAGGCCTAAAAAAGCTAGAATATATCTATTTATATATATACGTAAGAGAAACTGAGTGTGTGACCAGTGTGGCAAAATATATATATACCTCCACTTATACATATAAGTAAGGTACACAATTCTACACTATAGAGAGCGGAACTCTAAAGTCACTACCAATATTATTAACCCTTCAATGCTGCGTGGCCGCTATTGTGTAAGTGTGAGTGATATAATACCACGTGGTTGCTGTCAGTTGTGGCCACAGTTTCATATATGGAATATTGAAAAATTAGTGAATAAGTTCTGGATCGTCCTACAAAAACGTAAGGCCCACGCAGGAGCTGAGATGAACCCTTTATTTCATGTCTTTCAGACAGTGCCAGAAGGCTGGTTACCGACATCACCTTTCCACACCCTGTCAGGCTGAGCACCGAGTTGTGTCTAACACATGGAAATCTCAATATGTTTCATTTTTAGGGCACTAGCTTATACCATAGCGCAGCACATGGTGTGAGACGAAGGTCACTGATGGCAATGCATAGTCACTCCATGAGATGAGTATTGGCAGATTGTGCTCTCACGGGACACTGACAGGGAGAGTGGCAGAAACGTTTACACATTGCAGATAGAATGTAACTCTCCCTCTTTCATAAACTCCAGCTGTGTCCTGCAAACCCCATCCGCATGACATGGGGGCAGCTACACCCCCACAATGGGACAACTGGAGCTGGACTGACTGTGGGGAGGATCTGAGATATGAAATGCTTCTTATTTCATGAAATGTCACATTGTATCATTAAATAAAGCCTGCTGTTAAAACATGATATCTCTATTTAATCACATATCTAGTGGGGGCTGTATACTGTCAGTTTGAGGTGTATAATGGGTTCTGTATACTGTTAGTATGGGTGTATAATGGGTTCTGTATACTGTCAGTATGGGGTGTATAATGGATGCTGCATACTGTCAGTATGGGTGTATAATGGGTGCTGTATACTGTCAGTATGGGGTGTATAATGGGTGCTGTATACTGTCAGTATGGGTGTATAATGGATGCTGTATACTGTCAGTATGGGTGTATAATGGATGCTGTATACTGTCAGCATGGGTGTATAATAGGTGTTTACTGTCAGTATGGGTGCTGTATACTGTCAGTATGGGGTGTATAATGGATGCTGCATACTGTCAGTATCGGGTTTATAATGGATGCTGTATACTGTCAATATGGGTGTATAATGGATGCTGTATACTGTCAGTATGGGGTGTATAATGGATGCTGCATACTGTCAGTATGGGTGTGTAATGGATGCTGTATACTGTCAGTATGGGTATATAATGGATGCTGCATACTGTCAGTATGGGTGTATAATGGATGCTGCATACTGTCAGTATGGGTGTATAATGGATGCTGCATACTGTCAGTATGGGTGTATAATGGGTGCTGCATACTGTCAGTATGGGTGTATAATGGGTGCTGCATACTGTCAGTATGGGTGTATAATGGGTGCTGTATACTGTCAGTATGGGTGTGTAATGGATGCTGTATACTGTCAGTATGGGTGTATAATGGATGCTGTATACTGTCAGTATGGGTGTATAATGGGTGCTGCATACTGTCAGTATGGGTGTGTTATGGATGCTGCATACTGTCAGTATGGGGTGTATAATGGATGCTGTATACTGTCAGTATGGGTGTATAATGGATGCTGCATACTGTCAGTATCGGGTGTATAATGGATGCTGTATACTGTCAGTATTTGTGTATGATGGGTGCTGCATACTGTCAGTATGGGGTGTATAATGGATGCTGCATACTGTCAGTATGGGGTGTATAATGGATGCTGTATACTGTCAGTATGGGGTGTATAATGGATGCTGTATACTGTCAGTATGGGGTGTATAATGGATGCTGTATACTGTCAGTATCGGGTGTATAATGGATGCTGTATACTGTCAGTATGGGTGTATAATGGGTGCTGTATACTGTCCGTATGGGGTGTATAATGGATGCTGCATACTGTCAGTATCGGGTGTATAATGGATGCTGCATACTGTCAGTCTGGGTATATAATGGATGCTGTATACTGTCAGTATGGGTGTATAATGGATGCTGTATACTGTCAATATGGGGTGTATAATGAATGCTGTATACTGTCAGTATGGGTGTATAATGGATGCTGTATACTGTCAGTATGGGTGTGTAATGGATGCTGTATACTGTCAGTATGGGTGTGTAATGGATGCTGTATACTGTCTGTATGGGTGTATAATGGATGCTGTATACTGTCAGTATGGGTGTGTAATGGATGCTGTATACTGTCTGTATGGGTGTGTAATGGATGCTGTATACTGTCTGTATGGGTGTATAATGGATGCTGTATACTGTCAGTATGGGTGTGTAATGGATGCTGTATACTGTCTGTATGGGTGTGTAATGGATGCTGTATACTGTCAGTATGGGTGTGTAATGGATGCTGTATACTGTCAGTATGGGGTGTATAATGAATGCTGTATACTGTCAGTATGGGTGTATAATGGATGCTGTATACTGTCAGTATGGGTGTGTAATGGATGCTGTATACTGTCAGTATGGGTGTGTAATGGATGCTGTATACTGTCTGTATGGGTGTATAATGGATGCTGTATACTGTCAGTATGGGTGTGTAATGGATGCTGTATAATGGATGCTGTATACTGTCAGTATGGATGCTGTATACTGTCAATGGATGCTGTATACTGTCTGTATGGGTGTGTAATGGATGCTGTATACTGTCAGTATGGGTGTATAATGGATGCTGTATACTGTCAGTATGGGTGTGTAATGGATGCTGTATACTGTCTGTATGGGTGTATAATGGATGCTGTATACTGTCAGTATGGGGTGTATAATGGATGCTGTATACTGTCAGTATGGGGTGTATAATGGGTGCTGTATACTTTCAGTATGGGTGTGTAATGGATGCTGCATACTGTCAGTCTGGGTGTATAATGGGTGCTGTATACTGTCAGTATGGGTGTGTAATGGATGCTGTATACTGTCGGTATGGGTGTTTACTGTCTGTATGGGTGTATAATGGATGCTGTATACTGTCAGTATGGGTGTATAATGGATGCTGTATACTGTCAGTATGGGGTGTATAATGGATGCTGTATACTGTCAGTCTGGGTGTATAATGGATGCTGTATACTGTCAGTCTGGGTGTATAATGGATGCTGTATACTGTCAGTATGGGTGCACACTGTCTGTATGGGTGTATAATGGATGCTGTATACTGTCAGTATGGGTGTGTAATGGATGCTGTATACTGTCAGTATGGGTGTATAATGAATGCTGTATACTGTCAGTCTGGGTGTATAATGGATGCTGTATACTGTCAGTATGGGTGTATAATGGATGCTGTATACTGTCAGTATGGGTGTGTAATGGATGCTGTATACTGTCAGTATGGGGTGTATAATGAATGCTGTATACTGTCAGTCTGGGTGTATAATGGATGCTGTATACTGTCAGTATGGGGGTGTATAATGTATGCTGCATACTGTCAGTATGGGGTGTATAATGGATGCTGTATACTGTCAGTATGGGTGTGTAATGGATGCTGTATACTGTCAGTATGGGGTGTATAATGAATGCTGTATACTGTCAGTCTGGGTGTATAATGGATGCTGTATACTGTCAGTATGGGTGTATAATGGATGCTGTATACTGTCAGTATGGGTGTGTAATGGATGCTGTATACTGTCAGTATGGGTGTGTAATGGATGCTGTATACTGTCAGTCTGGGTGTATAATGGATGCTGTATACTGTCAGTCTGGGTGTATAATGGATGCTGTATACTGTCAGTATGGGTGTATAATGGATGCTGCATACTGTCAGTCTGGGTGTATAATGGATGCTGTATACTGTCAGTCTGGGTGTATAATGGATGCTGTATACTGTCAGTATGGGTGTATAATGGATGCTGCATACTGTCAGTCTGGGTGTATAATGGATGCTGTATACTGTCAGTATGGGTGTATAATGGATGCTGTATACTGTCAGTATGGGGTGTATAATGGATGCTGTATACTGTCAGTATGGGTGTGTAATGGATGCTGTATACTGTCAGTATGGGGTGTATAATGAATGCTGTATACTGTCAGTCTGGGTGTATAATGGATGCTGTATACTGTCAGTATGGGTGTGTAATGGATGCTGTATACTGTCAGTATGGGGTGTATAATGAATGCTGTATACTGTCAGTCTGGGTGTATAATGGATGCTGTATACTGTCAGTATGGGTGTGTAATGGATGCTGTATACTGTCAGTATGGGGTGTATAATGAATGCTGTATACTGTCAGTATGGGGTGTATAATGGTTGCTGTATACTGTCAGTCTGGGTGTATAATGGATGCTGTATACTGTCAGTATGGGTGTATAATGGATGCTGTATACTGTCAGTATGGGGTGTATAATGAATGCTGTATACTGTCAGTCTGGGTGTATAATGGATGCTGCATACTGTCAGTATGGGTGTATAATGGATGCTGTATACTGTCAGTATGGGGTGTATAATGGATGCTGCATACTGTCAGTCTGGGTGTATAATGGATGCTGTATACTGTCAGTATGGGTGTATAATGGATGCTGTATACTGTCAGTATGGGTGTATAATGGATGCTGTATACTGTCAGTATGGGTGTATAATGGATGCTGTATACTGTCAGTATGGGTGTATAATGGATGCTGCATACTGTCAGTCTGGGTGTATAATGGATGCTGTATACTGTCAGTATGGGTGTATAATGGATGCTGTATACTGTCAGTATGGGGTGTATAATGGATGCTGTATACTGTCAGTATGGGTGTATAATGGATGCTGTATACTGTCAGTATGGGGTGTATAATGGATGCTGTATACTGTCAGTCTGGGTGTATAATGGATGCTGTATACTGTCAGTATGGGTGTATAATGGATGCTGTATACTGTCAGTATGGGTGTATAATGGAATGCTGTATACTGTCAGTATGGGTGTATAATGGATGCTGTATACTGTCAGTATGGGTGTATAATGGATGCTGTATACTGTCAGTATGGGGTGTATAATGGATGCTGTATACTGTCAGTATGGGTGTATAATGTGGTTGCTGTATACTGTCAGTCTGGGTGTATAATGGATGCTGTGTATACTGTGTCAGTATGGTGTATAATGGATGCTGTATACTGTCAGTGTGGGGTGTATAATGAATGCATGTATACTGTCAGTCTAGATTGTATAATGGATGCTGCATACTGTCAGTCTGGGTGTATAATGGATGCTGTATACTGTCAGTATGGGTGTATAATGGATGCTGTATACTGTCAGTATGGGGTGTATAATGGATGCTGCATACTGTCAGTCTGGGTGTATAATGGATGCTGTATACTGTCAGTATGGGTGTATAATGGATGCTGTATACTGTCAGTATGGGTGTATAATGGATGCTGTATACTGTCAGTATGGGTGTATAATGGATGCTGTATACTGTCAGTATGGGGTGTATAATGGATGCTGTATACTGTCAGTATGGGTGTATAATGGGTACTGTACAGTTACATAGCTGAAAAGAGACTTGCATCCATCAAGTTCAGCCTTCCTCACATTTATCCTCGGATCAAGAAGCTATTACCCTACATTGAAAGATTATATCCTTGAATATTCTGTTTTAGCAAGTATGCATCTAGTAGCTGTTTGAACATCTGTATGGACTCTGATAAAACCACCTCTTATTGTTCTTACAGTAAAAAAAAAAAAAAAACCTTTCGAAAAAACGAAATCTTCTTTCTTCCAGTAATGGGAT